ACCAGTTCTATCAGTGGTACGGTTTAGATATAAAATATTGTACATGAGGAAATCTGTCTGATATTGACATTTCTTTGCATCTTTTTGTCATTCATACTTGAAGTATTTGACACAGCCCAGTTTGCTCTGGGATAGCATTGATTCAACCTGCTACATTAAAAAAGATGACAAGGAAGGTCACTTAGAAAATCCAGTTTTACTGCTCTAAAATCCCTTTGATTGCCTTTGAGAATTTGTATCTGTATCTGTATACCTGGTATAAGTGCTGTTTGGTATAACACACCATGTTGACAAGAAGTCATTTTAGTGTTATACCTTTTGTGCTCACTTTAAAAAATTTTTCTGTGTTATGAATATGAAGGACCATTTTCTTTCCCCTTACAGCCGACCATCTGCCGTAACCCCGTGTGCTCCAACCGCAGCCGCTTCATGCTGGACGTGAACAAGTCTCGGTTTGTCGACTTCCAGAAGGTGCGGATCCAGGAGACTCAGGCGGAGCTGCCGCGCGGGAGCATTCCTCGCAGGTGGAGATGTGTTTCCTTAGTGCTTAGCTTTTTCCCAAGTTTGCTCAGTCAGTCAGTCACTCATCCCCATAGCTTAGTAAGCTGTTAGGGCAGCATGATGTATGGCAAAGGTTTTCAACTGTTGCTACACAAGAAATTGTTACTCAAGCAACTAGATACAGATGCTTGAGTGGCAATTCCTCCTGTATCTCATTGCCTGGATTTCTAACTTTCATGGACTAGTAAGTCCAGCTGCTATTTCTTTGTTTTGCAGTGATTCATAATTTCAAAGACAGTATCATTGGCAGAGGCATTTATCCATTGCAAAAAAAAATAGCACACAAAAAAAGAAAAGTCAGATAGAAATGCCTAAATACACATGAAAAATAAGCCAAAGCACATCAGTTATGTAAAAATTGTAAATGCAGCTGTTCTGGCTTGTCCCTGTAGTGTTGAGATCATCCTGCGAGCGGAGGCAGTGGAGATGGCTCAGGCAGGAGACAAGTGTGACTTCACCGGCACTCTCATCGTGGTCCCTGACGTCTCACAACTCAACACTCCAGGTGGGAACACTGGCAGCAAATCTTACTGAAAAGTCTTAAAGGTAGTTCTCAGTCACTGATAAAAGATAGCGGATGCTAGCTGAAACTCAAAAGAGCTTATCGTAGAAAGAAAAATATTGTTCGTTCTTTTTTTACTTTTCCAAACAAGTAAGGTCAAAGATCTGGACCAGACGTCTGTCACCATGGTAACTGGTGCTGTAGCATTCATCCTGTGGTGTTGCATTACTTTATGTAGCAAGTAACAGGACAGACCTGGAGGGGATGGTGATCATTTATGTGAATGTGTTTGAGTAAGAAAATAAACAGATATGTAATTTGTTAGGCTAGACTTGTGAAGGTAAACATTATGCATTTGCTCAACAAATGTTACCTTCCTAGTTCATTTCTAATCTATTGTGTTACATTGAGATGTTTTTTCCCTCCCAGGTGCTCGTGCTGAGACCAGTACTCGTGTGAAGGCAGGAGCAGGTTATGACAATGAAGGTGTGGGGGGTCTGAAGGCGCTGGGTGTGCGGGAACTGTCCTACAGACTGGCCTTCCTAGCTTGCTCCGTGGAAGCTACCAACCCACAGGTAGGGGGGAGACTTTCATATTTTTGTTTATTTGAAAAATTGGTATAGCCTTCGGCGCAACATATCACACTGAACAACTTGTAACTCCCAATCTTTGTACATTTAATTGTAGGAGTTGTTTAAAGCTACATGTATCTAGTGATGATGCCCCAACTGTGCTTTGTGGCAATGAGTCCCAGTCTACGATAATTCTTCAAAAATACGAGTTTTTGAACACCTCCATTCTTGGTTGACAGCTCTGATATTTGAAGGCTTTTACCTTTCACCCAGTTTGGAGGCCGAGACTTGCGAGGCGATGATCTAACTGCAGAGACCATTAAGAAACAGATGACAGAACAGGAGTGGCAGAAAGTGTATGAGATGAGCAGAGACAAGAACCTCTACCAGAACCTCTGCACCAGCCTCTTCCCCACCATACATGGTTAGTAGGTTGAGTCGGTTGACAGCACATGGGTGTGGGGAAGATTGACAGACAGAATGTCTCTTCCCCACCATACATAGTTACAAGTAGTACTGGTAGCATCTGTGCTGTAGAAGACACCCTGTGGTGTTGGGTTACATTATGTAGCAAGTGGCAGGGCAGACTTGGAGGGTCTGGTCACCATATATATGAATGTGTTTTAGTAAGAATAAACAGAGCAGAAGTTTGTTAGGCTAGACCATGCAAATTTAAACATTATGCATTTGCTTTTTAAATATTACCTCTGTACACCAAAAAAAAAAAAGTTACCAAGCAACTGGATTTGATTTTGGAAAATCATATCCAGTTACTTGAGTAACTGTTTTTTGGCGTATCTTATTACCTGGAACTGTAACCTTCACCGACATTTTGCCTTTCTGCTTTCTGTAATTGATTTTCTCATTGATTATTGATTATTGTCAGGTAATGACGAGGTGAAGCGAGGTGTCCTGCTGATGTTGTTCGGAGGAGTTCCCAAGATGACGATGGAGAAGACCGGTCTCCGTGGTGATATCAACGTCTGCATCGTCGGCGACCCCAGCACCGCCAAGAGCCAGTTCCTCAAGTAGGAGTCTCTCAATAACAATAAAAGGCCTTAATTACTATGTACAGTTATTGTATTTGGACAAGCCATTTTCAGTAATGCAATCATTCTCATAATGTGGTATCATTGTGTAATGACCCCAGCACAGCAAAGAGCCAGCTCCTCAAGTATGAGTCTCCCAGTAGTTAAGATATTAAGCTTACATTGGGTCAGATATACGCCTTTATATGTTACTATGTACATGCCCTACAGCAATTTAGAAATCAAACTTTAATTTCAATTTCGATTTTTTCAATTTCAATTTTATTAAGAATAGTCAACATAGCAGGGGTACATAGTACTCCTGAATTGTGTGGACCTTACATATTATTAAGTGTAAAAAACGCACAAGACAATTACATACAAGGGTGGGACATGAAACAAAAGAACACTAAGTCTGCGTTTGGCTATTGTACAGTATGATTGTGCAGTGGAGGAACGAGTTATACAGTCTGTTTGTCTGTTTTTTAAGTATCCTCCAAACCCTTTGCCCACTTTTTTACTTCACATTACCATGGACCCAAAATCCCTGAAGAATTTGGATATGTGCCTATAATAGTAATTCTAACCAACTGGTAATAGTCTTCACTTTTTGTCCTGTTCAAAACTGAAATCTTTGCCTCTCCTCATGGCAGTGGAACAGTTCAGCCCGCGTGCTGTGTACACCAGCAGCAAGGCCAGCAGTGCGGCTGGTCTGACTCACTCACACACTCGCTCACTCACTCACTAACTCATCACCTTACTGTTTACTATTATCCCCAGGGCAGTGGAACAGTTCAGCCCACGTGCTGTGTACACCAGTGGGAAGGCCAGCAGTGCGGCCGGTCTGACTCACTCACACACTCACTCACTCACACAATCACTCACTCACTCACTCACTCACTCACCCACCCACTCACTCACTCACTCAACTCACTCAACTCACTCACTCACTCACTAACTCATCACCTTACTGTTTACTATTATCCCCAGGGCAGTGGAACAGTTCAGCCCGCGTGCTGTGTACACCAGTGGGAAGGCCAGCAGTGCAGCTGGTCTGACTCACTCACACACTCACTCACTCACTCACTAACTCATCACCTTACTGTTTACTATTATCCCCAGGGCAGTGGAACAGTTCAGCCCGCGTGCTGTGTACACCAGCGGCAAGGCCAGCAGTGCGGCCGGTCTGACAGCAGCTGTGGTGAAGGACGAGGAGTCACATGAGTTTGTCATCGAAGCCGGGGCGCTCATGCTGGCTGACAACGTAAGTCTCATTTACTCACTCACTCAGTCACTCGGAAGCTGGCTCGCTCGCTCACTCACTCGGGAGCGCTCATGCTGGCTGACAACGTAAGTCTCACTCACTCACAAATCACCCACTCACTCACTCAGTGGCTCTCATGCTGGCTGACAACGTAAGTCTGTCTCACTCACTCACTCACCCACTCACTCAGTGGCTCTCATGCAGGCTGACAACGTAAGTCTGTCTCACTCACTCACTCACCCACTCACTCAGTGGCTCTCATGCTGGCTGACAACGTAAGTCTAACCTTTGAAAATCTTACTACTCAGTCATAGTCAGGAAAGGTATTTTATTATACTGTGTTTTTTTTTTACATATTCAGTTAAACTGTGTTTAAAAGTAAAGGCTATTAAAGCAGTCAGACTGAGGTGAAGCATGATGCTTTTTCATGCATACTCTTCCCAATAAGTATGTTGTGTTCTTTTACTTGTAAAGGTTTTGCAGTTGGATTCAAATAAAGTCCACGTGACTTAAGGCTTATGACTGGACTGCTGATTTAAACCTGTTACTGGTATCTTTCTATCTTTGTACATAGTTGTAACAAGTTGTTTATGGTACTTTTAGTTTTAGTACAGTTATGGTGTGGGTCACGGAAACACTTGTTGAGCCCCTTTCAAAGCAAATGGCTGCAATTCTTTGTATTCATCAAGTATTGCACTGTTTTGCTTTGAAAGGTGTTTTGACACGTCCAGCTCTCCAGTATAGTAGACTACTTTTCGTCAGTGACTGAAAGTACTTCAAACGTTTGACAGTTTTCAAAATCCAGCCAGTTCCTAGGGCAGAGCTGGAAAAACTGGGTGCATGTGCACCTTGGTGCACCCAAAATTTGGGGCTGTGCACCCAATTGTTTTTCTGTGGGTGCACTGGAGCACCCGAATGTATATAGGTTCTTTATGTATGTAAAGATGTTAAATGTATAGTAGTATACAGCATATCTTCAGTGTCAGACTCAGAAAAATTCTTTTGAAATAAAACATTATTAGTTTTTCTAATTATTTCTTGAAAAAAAAATTTGTACAGAACATCACATGTTGAGATTTACTGGAGTGTGTTGAGCTCTATGTGTATATATGTGCCCTCTTCCCAGGGTGTTTGCTGCATCGATGAGTTTGACAAGATGGACCCCAAGGATCAGGTTGCGATCCACGAGGCCATGGAACAGCAGACCATCTCCATCACCAAGGCTGGGGTCAAGGTCAGGCATCAACACTTTGTTTTTCAAAAGAATATCTGAGTTTTCTTTTCCACAACAGGTACTGTCTCTTGCCTGTCAGATATCTTTCTCAGAGCTTCTGAATGGAGTACTGCTTTTTGCTGCTATGAGTAGGCATTGAAGTGTGAGTAGCTGAGACCCATTACTAGTCGTGTGAAAGATTGTTCTACGAGCTTGATGAAGTTATTTTTGGATCATTTCAAAAGGTTTCAAAGTTGTGTAGATGAACTGTTTATAAAGTTATAAAGTTATGTGTTGACGTGACTTACAAACATGCAAGATTTGCAGAAGAAAACTTTGTCAGTCACCAACGAAAAGTAGTGGTTGTAAAAAGTTGCAGTCCTTAGACTGGTCCACTGTTCATTGTGCTTGTCTATCTTCTCTGTCACAACCAGTGAGACATTAGCTCTTCAGTGAGCTAAAACTGGATCAAAATCAATTTAGTTCTCCTAAAATGATGCCATGTTTTTTTATCTGTCCCCCAGGCCACCCTGAATGCCCGTACCTCCATCCTGGCGGCAGCTAACCCGATCGGCGGCCGCTACGACCGGACCAAGTCGCTGAAACAGAACATCACGCTGACCGCCCCCATCATGTCCCGATTCGACCTCTTCTTTGTGCTGGTGGACGAGTGTAATGAGGTAGGAACTCTTGTTGTTAAAGACAATTGATAAAATGCACTGTAATTCTCAGTCAGGGCTCAAAATCCCACATGCATATGCGGGGTAGTGCAGATAAAATTGGAGCTGTACAGATATTTCTGATCTACCTGCGCCTAACCTGCACTAGTACATGTACGTGTGTTTGGCTTTTTATTTGCTGCATTGACTGTTAGAAATAATGGCAATGGTTTCAGAACAGTTATAGTGTGATCCATACTTCCTAAATTCTGAGTGGTGCAATTAAAATTTATTTGGTGTAGGTATGCAGAAAAAAAGGTATTTTGTGCCCTGAAAATTTAACCTGTTAGTAATTTATTTGCCTGTTCTGTCAAGTTTAATTGTTTATTTATGTCTAAATATTCAAGAATTGTGTTTCCTCATGTTCTCAGGTCACGGATTATGCCATAGCTCGGCAGATCGTTGACCTTTATATACTTTATTTATTTCATGGTACTAGCTGAATGTCAAGTTTTAAATGCTTATGTAGGTATTAACATTTAAGACTTGTATTTTCTGTTGTCTCCAGGTGACAGACTACGCCATCGCCCGGCGGATTGTTGACCTGCACAGTCACGGGGAGGCGTCCGTGGAGAGAACCTACTCCGTGGAGGAGATGCAGAGATACCTCATGTTCGCACGACAGTTCAAACCTAAGGTAAACTCAACATGAAGCCTTATGTACCATATAAACTTTAGATTCTTTATTTCCTCAGATCGTCTTGGGCAGTTTGGACTATATGTGGGTTTTTTCCCCTCAAGCATTCTTTTCCCCAGCTTGTATCCTGTCTTGTAGTATTTCAGCGGACTCCTAGCCTTTGCTCTTAAGTACTTACTTATCCTCTTTATCCCTGTGTTTATTAATTGTCAGGATAGTTCTATAGTTTTGCGTCTGCCTCTTTTTGTTTTCCCAACAGGTCTCAGTTTAAGGCTGTTTTAGGTATTCTTGAGTCATCCATACCAAGTACATGGCAAAGCCATTTCACTCTTCTGTTGGACAGGTGTTCTCTGTGGAAAGTCTGCTACAACCAGTTTCTTTAATGCTCTGAATAAAAATTGTTTCAAAAAAACAGATCAGTAAAGAAGCTGAGGAGTTTATGGTAGACGAGTACCGGCGCCTGCGTCAGCGCGACTGCTCCGGGGTCAGCAAGTCTTCATGGCGGATCACTGTCAGGCAGCTGGAGAGCATGATCAGACTGTCGGAGGCCATGGCTCGCATGTACTGTCAGGACGAGGTGGGTGGGTGTCTGTGTGGGGGGAGGGGGGTATGTGTCTGTGTCTGTTTCCTTACACTTGTGATGAGCATAACAAGCACAACTTAAGAAAATCAGGATGAAATGTGATGATATCTGGTATGTTGGTAGGTTTTGACAAGATGAAGGTTGATTTTGGGTCTCCTTTCGGCTTTTGTGTATCATTTGTCCAGGAGATGATCTTGATTTTTTTTGGTGCCAGATGACATTTTAATCGTAAGAAATGAAATGTATATCCTTGAGCCCCTAGCAGCTTGTTCTGGAACTGCAGGGGAGTGTTTTCTGAACACATTTTAGGTACGCTTCTCTTGCCTAACTGTATTTAATCCTTTTCCTCAGGTCCAGCCGAAACACGTGAAGGAAGCGTTCCGCCTGCTGAACAAGTCCATCATCCGCGTCGAGCAGCCCGACATCAACCTCGGCACCGAGGACGAGGAGCAGCAGCAGCTAGACGGTACGTTTCCATGACAACTGTTTCCATAGCAACAGTTTCCTTGGCAACCATTTCCATGGCAACCAGAATTGTTTTTACTATGACTTTTTCTTCCTCCTCTTCTCCAAATACATAATGTCAGTGGCCTGGACCAGACGTCTGTCACCACGGTAACTGCTGCTGTAGCAGACACCGTGTGGTATTGGGTTACATTATGTAGCAAGTGGCAGCACCAAAGGCCTCCTACCTTGCCCCCATATTTCTGCCACAAAGAACGGTCCCTTTGGTGTAACATACCAGCTTCTGTCCTCTATAATACATACCCAGGGTTAGGCAAAGCTGGGATAACATTTTGTGGAATTGTCACTAAAAAGCTGGATATTAGGATAATATTTCATGTACTTGTGTGTTGAACATCAGGAGGTGGTGATGAGATCCTGAGTGAAGACGCCATGGAGACAGACGAAGCTCAGAAGTCGGCTGACGAGCCCCCCTCCCCACCCAAGAAGGCCATCAGGCTCACGTTTGATGAGTACAAGACTCTGGCCAACCTGCTGGTGCTGCAGATGAGACGGAAGGAAGCAGAGACAGACGGTAGGAATCAATAATATTCCTACTACAATACTTTGTACTTATAAACCTGCCTATCTGACTACTCTCCAGTGTTACTGACGAAAGGTAGTGGATTCATATAGAATACAACACGGGGTATTCCGTATCGCCCGAGGTATCGGCCCGACCACGGGTCGGATCGCCCGACGGCCACAAGCGTTATCGCGGCCCGGATATGATATAATACCTGAAACGTCTGTTTCCAAAATCATATCCAGTTGCTTGAGTAACTGTTTTTTAGCGTATCTTATTACCTGGATGTCTACCCTTCACCAACAGAATCAATAATAATATGTCTAATAAATAAATGAATAAATAAATAAATATGAGCTTAGACTTATGTTGAAAGTTCATCTGTATTGGTAGAAGTCATTATGACGCAAATTTGGAGTGTAATGTCCAACTCAAGATATTGAACATTAAACATCAGAGCAATTTAAAAACCTATGCAGTTTCTTGAGTAACAGTTTCTTTGTGTAATCCATGTGTTTGTTTGCAGATGGAGATGGAGGGATGAGGAAAGGCGAGCTGGTCACCTGGTATCTCCACGAGATCGAGAATGAGCTGGAGTCAGAGGCAGAGTATTTTGAGAAACAGACCATCGTGGAAAAAGTCATCGAGAGGCTCATTCACCACGTAAGTTACCTGGCTTGTCTATCAACGACATATCGAACCCAGAAGTTCCACTGCAGCACCATAACAAGCTGCCAGGGGGCCCAAAATCAAATCATTTTGAAGTCTCAAGGGCTACCCACCTACCAAATATCCAAGCCTTCTCGAGTTAATGTGTTAACTCACACACACACACACACACACACACACACACACACACACACAAACACTGAAAACTAAACCTTCCTGGAGAAGGTTACCATACCAAGGTGGTCTTGTGGTTAGGGTTGTTGTTGGCTCAGAATCAGAAGGTTTTGGGTTTGAATCCTTGGCAGGTTTCAGTGTTGTGCCCTTGGGAAAGGCACTTAATAGCTATTTCCTCACTTAAGTAAAAATAAGTGCCTGGCTTCAGTTAGGCACATCCTCCCTGGATGTCATGTGTTTGAGGAGAGCATGTTAAAGGTCCCACTGCACTAGGGGTCCTTCTCTGTGTGAATGGTTCAAAACTTACAGACTGGTCTCAGGATAGTCACCTGGTATGTCAATCTTTACACAAATGCGGTAAATCTTGATTAATAGATACAAAAAGTATATTACATCCATAGTAAATGAACTAATTCAGCTGCCTGTATGTAACCTAACAGGACCACATTCTGGTGGAGCTGTCCAAGATCGGACTGAAGAAGCGAGCAGGCGACTCAGCGAGCTCAGACCCTCTACAGGACAAGGACCCCCTCCTGGTGGTACATCCCAACTATGTCATCGATGCTTAGATGTAAATACTAACTAACCTACATGTAGAGTTTATTGGTGAAGTTTAGGCATCCAGGCAATGAGATACACAAGGAAATTGTTACACAAGCGACTGGATAGATTTTGAAAACTGTCACAGATGAGTAGTGGATACTGCTTGAACTGTTTGACAGTTTTCAGAATCTGTCCTTTTTTTGCTTGAGTAACAGTTGTGTAAGTTAGAGGCTTTTGTCTATTATGCTAACATATTACCGGTAGTGAGAAAATATTATAATGCAGTTCACATTAATTTCATGTACATTATCATAATGTCAGTGCACTCTATAGTCTGTGGTGGATCTTTGTCAACTAACAGCTTGTAGAAATTATGAGGTACGACAGGAATGATCAGTGCTTTCAAATGATCAACAAAGAATTAGATTTTGGAACTAGAGTTTGGATACCAATATTTTAGAGAAAAGATATTTGAATGTTGTGTTGTAGTGAACATAGAGTAATCTATACTTAAAACTATTTCATTGTAAAAACAACAATTTGTTTCAGATCTGTGGCATTCAAATGAAGATTGTGTATTTTACAGAAATTTACCGGAAATGATCCCGTGTTATTAAAGATTTGTACTACAATAAGTAGAATTGGTAGAAATATAAAAAGACTGGGATTTGAAGTATGTGATATTGCAAAAAAAAATGAAAACTGTAAGTGTTGTTTGTTCTACACATAATGTTGAAAGTAATGGAAAGCCCACTTCATTCTTTCCAATCTTGCAGTTACTGTATTTTGATTGCAGATGAGGGGAAAAAAAGACAAGATGAGACTGCCATTTGGGGCATGTGACCAGTGTGTGTATTGTCGACAGAATAGTACAGTACTGATACAGATAGATACATATAGCTAAAGCTGTGCTGTAAAGAGCTTCTGTTATTGTTTTTGTCTTATTGAATAGAATAACATGAAGTGAGATGCTTTACACATATGGCTTCTGTCTTTTTTGTCTTGAGTGTAGCTTAATAGGACCAGCATGTGTAGTAAGCTATGTTGAGTAAAAAATATGTGTTGCATAGGTATGTTGGTTGCCAGTTGGTTTCTAATGGATAGCAGGAAGTGAGATGCTTTACACAGCTTCTGCCATTCCAGGTTGTTAAGATCAGGCTGTGTACTAAGCTTTGTTTTGTGGTAGACGTATGTTGCATAATAGTATGTTGTTTGCCAGTTGGCACCTGATGCATGTTGGTCACACAGCTATGGAGGGGGAGGGGGTGGCCCTCCAGGGCCAGGAGGT